TGGCACACTCGGGCACTCGGTGTTGGCCGTGGTCGCTCCTGAGGGCTGGCCCCCCCCCCCCCCCCCCCCCGGCCTCCACTGCTTCTGCAGATCTTTCTGTCAGAGAGCAAGGCGTCCCCTCTCCGCACACTTCCGGTTCTAGGCACACAACTGAGCGCTGCCGGCTACACAGTGAGAGGAGAAAACACGACTGTCTTCAGCGTTTGTCGTTCTTTTGCCAAGGCGGGCCTGAGTTCTGCTCGCGGAGTATAGGGTAGCAAGTAATTCCATTGCACCAGCAGCGTGGGAAAGCCCTCTCGATCCCGAGGCTTGGGATCATCCTGTAAACACTACTCGAACAACAAACAGTGAGTCTGAGCGTGAGGAGGCGAAACAGAGCGCGGAGTTTCAGCCTGGAGAGCAAAGCCAGCTGGATTCCGCCGACACCTGCGGCTCTCACATCTGGACAGCAGAACAGCTGTCTCCAGCAAGGGGGGACGGGGTGCGTTAGGAGGACCTAACGCCCGTGGGGATCACCACCTCGCCCCTCCGCTTGCTGCTCTGGCAGGCCGTGCGGAGCTCGCTTGTCCCACACGGGCGGCGGGGAGGGCCCGGGAGCCAGACACCCAGCCCGGCTGCTCCCCTCCGTCCTGTTAGGGCGCTCTGCGCAGCTTCATCTCCCACGCTCAGAGCAGCATGTGAGGAGGGTCTGAATGATAGCTCTGTCAGGGGGTGAGCCAGCTGAGCTGGGCAACCGGGCGGGGGGGGGGGGCTCCCTGCAGGAGACAGCGTGAATGAGACCGGATTTCCAGCTGTTTCTCCTCTTCTGCGGCCGCCGGGGCTGGACCGCGAGCTTCTCGTCGCAGAGTCCCTGCGCCCTCTGCTGGGCACAAGCGGAAGCTCTGGGGATTTCATCCCTCCCTAAGAGCCCCTTGAGCCTCTATCTCACCCCTAGACGGTCGGTTTCCCCGTTTTCTTTTTCAACACCGAGTCAGAGCTTTCTTTGACCACCTTAGGCATTCCCTCTTTCATGTGAGACAAACGCATCATTCGGAATGCAGCTCAACGACCCTAGGTGGCTCTCTGCAGCCACGGTGGCAGGATACCCAAATCTTCAGCCTCACAAAAAAACTGGCTCCTGTGGACTCCGCGGTTGGTGTGTGACTAACTCAGGCAAGGAGGAACCAAGAAAGCACAGTTGATAGGAAACCTCCACACAGGGATCTGCCTTACAGCCTGTTGGGGGGGGGGGCTGGACCTGTGACTGCCCATGAATATTTCTGCGTTGTGTGTGTGTGTGTGTGTGTGTGTGTGTTATGTGTTTTGGAGTATTCTAGTCAGACGTGTGTTATTAGACAAAACACAAGCCAGACTGCGTAATAAGGAGAGAGAGCTTTATTTAGCTCCCAGTTCGGGGTGTTCAAAGGATAGCGGATGGCGCCTTATCATTCCTGGAGTGTGTGGGCTAGGAGCAAACAGAAACACAAGAGATGGGGTTCCACGATTGCCTTGGCAGGCAAGTCTCCACTGACCTCCTGCTGGACATGACTTCTCAAAAGACCCCAGAGCCTCTTCAGTCGGCCACGCTGAAGGCCAAACCTGGAACGGTCGCCCTTTGCAATGTGTTCAGCCACGCCACAACCGAATCTTCTTCCCTCTTCTAAAGCCTTCAGTCAACCTGTTTCCCCCCCCCCCCCCCAAAAAAAAAAGTACTACGTAATTTGAGCGATACTTTCAATGATCCGGGGGTTGGTCCTGCAGATTGAATACGGAAGATGCTGTAATGAAGACAGACTTGAGGAGGGGAGTGGTACAGGGCCTTGGCAGGAGCAGGATGGCACGTGGCGATACGGAAGGATTGATGGAACGCCACCGCTGTCCTAGGGGCGTCTTGAGAGGGGAGCTTGGCGCATGTCGGCCCGCGTGGGCCCTGCCCCTGGCTACCTAGAAAAGGGAAATGGAAGTCAGAGCTGGGGCTCGGTCGTCCAGCCTTGGCGATTGACCGCCACGGAGAAGTATAAAGGCGCCATCTAGTGGACAGACAACAAACTGTTACAATATATACAAACTGAACAGTTTGAAGATGAAGCGTCCCTCCCCTTCATAGCCACCCCCCTCCCACCAAAAGACTCACTTATTGAAAGGCCGTTCCTCAGCCAGTGGCCTCATGGTGCGATGTTCTGGGAACTTTAGGATGTAGGAAACACCTGGAGGAAGAAGGTCACTTTTTTTTTCTGTCCTGTCATCTGATTCCGGTCCACCAGGCCCCAGGGTTGAGGCCAGCTAAGAGTAGACTCCACTCGGATGCCATGAGCCTAAATTAAACCTTCCCTCCCTGAAGTTGATGGTGCTGAACGATGTGTTCCGGGGACCAGAGAAGCAGCCAAAACGCATAGTTTCAAACAATAACTTTCTACAGGTCAAGGAGAAAAGCACTGCAGTGAAATCCGAGTTTTGCTAACAGACTGGGGAGGCTCGTGCGCAGCGATCGGAGGCAGCTCCAAGAAGGTTGGGTGAGGCAGAAAGCGCCTGTTACCGTACAGATGTACAGCGAGTCTTCTCATAGTTCATAGCATTTTTATTCATGAGTCAGGGGCATGTGCTAGATATTCAAAATTAAGATACTGTACGCAGCTAAAGACTAAGAAATTAAAATGTACGTTTTTCTTAAATTCTTCTCTAAGAAGACAGGAAAACCTCCTCTTCTCAGCATTTTTTTTTTCCTGCACGAAATGTAGTAAGTAGGTAACAAAAGATACTAGTATTTGCTTGTTGATTGTGAAGTTGTGACAACGTTTGGTCTGTTTCTCTACAAGCATTTTGGGTCCAACCTGCTAGCGCCATTTCAGTTCCTTTGATCTCTGGCTTTTGTTTGTTTGTTGTTTTTGCTCTGTCTTGCTCGGGACCAATTTCTTTTTGTCTCACTCTCTCAGCTTACACTAACTGTTCTTCCTTCATCATCTCTTAGGACCCTTCGCATCTCGCTTATTTCGGTTTGAAAGTGCAGATTTTGTGCACCTACCTTTCCTTGGCTCACACTAAATAGACTATACACTTTATGAAACAGGTGGTAATTTATTGGCTGATGCTCAAATGCCCAAAGCTCAACAAGACACTGTCACATAATTGTGCCCAATATTTTTTTTTTCATTTTGGTCAGCTTGTAGAATTACTAACACTGATTTGAAAATTATGTGCACATGGTTCAAATACTTCATTACTGTCCCATGCCAGCCCCCAAATCAGGTGATTAGAATCCTGGGAGCCATTTGAGAAGGTGGAAGACCTCACAAAAACCATGTTTGCTCCTAAATTATCTTCTCCTGTAATCTAAATGCTTTTAACATTCATTTCTGCCCAGTACTTTCATTACTCGGCTCTTTGTAAAGTCACACTCACTGGCAGATATCAGTGGGTTTTGGCTTGTCTTCCTTAGCTCCATCAATCTTTCCCTCAGCGCTCCAAAGTGTATAGGCCATGCTGAGATACTTTCCATCGCAAGTACATCATTACGGCGTGTCTTCAAGGTGCCACTTTCTGGTAAATTGCTCCTCTTAAACACAGCCCGCATGAAAATTGTGGAGTCCGCATTCACATCTCCAATTGTGCTTGTCCAAACCAATTTGAGAAAATACATAGAGGAAATTGAAAAGGCCACTGGAGAGCTCAGCCAGTAAAACCGATGGCTAGGCAAATTCTTTTTTAAAAAATTTATTTATTTTTTTATTAATTACAATGTATTCACTTTGTATTCCAGCTGTAGACCCCTCCCTCATTCTCTCCCAATCCCATCCTGCCTCCATCATCTCCTCCCATGCCCCTCCCCCAGTTCACTGTAGGGGAGGTCCTCCTCCCCTTCCATCCGACCCCAGCCAATCAGGTCTCATCAGGACCGACTGCCTTGCCTCTGACATGAATTCAGTGGCTGGCTCTTCACTAGGCAAACTTAAGGACTAGAGTTTGACGCCAAGTATCCACAGGAAACCTGAACAGCTGGCTTGTGACTCGGCTGAGCAGGTACAGGTTTTTGCCACCAAATCCGGACACCTAACACCCATTGTCCGTAATCCACATGGTGGAAGGGGAGTGTTGACTCCTGAAGATTGTCCAGCGCCATCCACACACACTCTATGATGTGCACACGTGCATGAACACACACACACACATCCAGAGAGACAGACAGACAGACAGTGGGGAATATTGTAATCTGGGCATGATGGAATTTGTTCTTAATCTCAGTTTGGGGGATAGAGACAGAAAGGTCCCTTGAATAGCTGGATAGCTGAGTTTAGCCTAATTCCAAAGCCCCAAATCTCAGTAGGACATGCTGCCTAGAAAACCTAGGGTGGATGGTACATGAGGAACAATGCAAGGTTGACCCTCCCCCCAACTATGCACCAGCACATACATGAGACATACACACAGAGACATATACACAGAGACATACACACACATAAAAACCTAACAGGTAAGAATTCTGTTTCTGTTTTTTTGTTTTGTTTTGTTTTGTTTTGTTTTTGTTTGTTTTTTAATAACCCATCACTGAATTCTGCCAGTCTTCCGTTACCCAGGAGGGGGATTCATATAGGCAGAGAAGGAAAGAGTTTTGTAAACGGACATTTCGCACTCTTGTCTGCATTTCTTCTGGGTTTGATTTTGCATTTACCAACCCTTTATGTCTGGTTTTCTTGGCATTTCTCCCTCATCTCTTGGGGCTGGCTAGGGTTTCAAAGCGCACTGTCTCCAGCTGGTGGTGCTGTCTGGGAAGGAGAGGGAATTTAGGGAGTGGGGTGACCCCGGAAGAAGGAAACGGTTGACAGCATGTTCTGGCTTCCATGAGGTGAGCAAACTCCTCCTCCACAGGCTCCTGATGCCAAACTGCTGTTCACCCCGGTTGCAGCAATGGAACCAGGCAACCAGATCACGGACTGAACCCTCCAGAACGGTGGACAAAAGAAGTATTTGCTGCCATGAACTGCTTCGGGTTTTTGTCACAGAGACTAATAAGACAAACAGCACCATTATTTGATACTTCCCTGGTATATCTGCTATATTTTTATTTAAAAAATATCTCCATGAGTAACATTCTATGATTCCCACAGAAAATGATAGGGTTTATTTTTTTCCTGTATTTTCTTACATACATGGAGCCCCTTCTTTGTTACAGTTGAGGACAGCGCATCCCACTATCTTCTTCAGTGACATCAGGGCCTTCTCTACGGAACAGTCTTCCAGGGCCAATAGCTATTGAGTGATACCTATTGAACTCTTTCACACCGTTTGAGTTTTCTCCAAAATCCAGTCCACGTACTTGGCCACGTTGGTGTAGACGCCTGGCCTCTCCTTTTGAGCACAGCCTTCGCCCCAGCTTGTAATGCCCACCAAGTACCAGACCCCACTGTGTTTGCAGGCCAGGGGCCCTCCAGAGTCGCCCTGTGGAAGGGGAGGAAGGGCAACAGGCATGGATCGCTTCAGGCACTTCCTGTATTAAATAAGCATCATTCACAGCAACTTCACCTAAAATTCTGGTCCTTTCTCAAAAGTTCTGAACAAAAGATTGCTTACCTTTACCCAGCTTTTCTACTTTAGGCTTTGTTCACCTAAAACAAAACCATCATGTGTCCTGCTTGTGATGGCTTGTGACAACTCATCTGAGTCATCAAGTTTGCGCACCTGCCAACAGGAAACTCCAGCTAAGAAACTACCACTATAAGCCTGGCTTGTGGGAAAACTGCCACCATCAGGCTGGCCAGTGGGCAAACCCCACCACCAGAGCTTGTGGGCATGTCAGTAGGGAATTTTCTTGATTCCTAATTGATAAATAACTTAAGTGGCTGAATGAGTCTAAAAGCATTCCAGTAAGTGGCATTCCTCCAAGATCTCTGCTGAAGTTCCTGCCTCATGTTTCCTACCTTGACCTCCCCTTATCACCTTGCCCCTCTGCACATTCCTCACCAAGGGCTCTAAAGCAGTGGAGCCCCCTAACCACAGGCTGAAGCCTCTGACATCACGAAAGCCCAGATTACCTTTCCTCTTGACAAGGTGTCTACATCAAGTGTCTTGTCATAGTGACAAAAGGCTGGCCAACACAGAAGCAAGACCAATCATTTTTCCCCATGAAGGACTGTTATTTCAGTTGACATTATTCATAACCTGTAACCTAATAAATAACCTATAGTAACCTATAGGCTAAAGAAACCCTTTCCTTCCCTAAGTTGTGTTTGCTCAGTGTTTTCATCACAGCAACAGAAAGCAAACTAGGACAGCGCTGGATGGGAGTGCTGGATGCTGTAAAAAGGCATCAAACACTCCCTCCAATCTGGTATAACTGATTGGTTGAGATGTTCTCACCTTGCATGCATCCTTCCCCCCTTCTTTGTATCCTGCACAGATCATCTTGTTGGTTATTTTATGCCTTCTGTATCTTGTCTGACATTCTTCATTTGAAATCAATGGTACCTTGGCTTTCTGGAGAGTACTTTGTATTTCATCTGAGAAAGGTCACATTAGTGTTTTAGTGAAATAATAATTATATGGGTGTATTCAATTATATATAAAAGGCAAAACTGCATATAAAAACAGAGAAGGAAAAATTACTAAGCTTAATTCATAGGTCTTCTTTATAACTACGAAGTATAAAGAAGACATTATTTCCACTATTGTGTATATACTTTTATTAGTGTTATTTAGTTCAAAATTAATTGTGACACTAACAGAGAATTTCTTCTCAGACAAAAATAACTAGAAACCAAGCTAGAACTTTTGTACAGAGTGTTAGGTCTCATATTAAAAGTCTTCAGTTAAAACAGTCTTTAGAGAGGCTTAATCATATTTAACATTTCTGATCGGAGGTATTGGTCTCTGTTATTAATCTCCCAGTAATTAAGTAGCGCTACGTGACTAGATAGAAAACAGAGACTTCAGGATGAAGCAGAGCTAGACACATCGTTCCTTACCTCTCGATCCTGTGTATCCCCATCCAGTCACCCAGCATTCTGTGTATACTACGTTTCTATCTCCTTTGGAAGGCAGACATATTGGCCGCTGAAAATCTAATTTTGAAAAGTCATAGTTTAGTCATCAGAAGAGGTTTGGATTTTAGTCTGCCTGGAGATGGTGGAAAGTGGGGCCTAAGGAAGGAAATTGAGTCATTGAGGGCATGCCCTTATAAAAGGGATATGAGGACCCCAACACCTTTCTTTTTGCTTCCCAGCATCCGTGAGGTAAGTAGTTTGCTCCTCTGTACATTCCTCACAATGGACTTCAAAGCATGGAGCCCCTAACCACACGCTGAAGCTTCTGACATCATGAGAGCCCAGATTACCTTTCTTCTCGACAAGGGGCCTACATCAGGTACTTTGTCATAGTGACGGAAGGTAAACACAGAAGCAAAACCAATCATTTTCCCCCAGAAAGGACTGTTATTTCACTTGACATTATCCCTGCTTTCTCTATATGATATTCATGTTATCTTTTTCTCATATATTTTCATGCCTTGTGTTCAGTTTTGTCTAGAGAACACCCCAAGTGGAAGAAACTAGAGAAAAATAAGACAGGCCTCTTTACACCAACTTTCATTTTGACAAGTTTTAATATTCTGTAAACACTTAATCATGTTGCCAGGCCCTTTGTCCCTAGAACAAAATGTCAATCTACATTGTTCTTACTACTTCTGTATTTTATAAAATGATGTCATTCTATAGATCTGAAAAAGTCTGAAACCAAGTCTCTCGTGCACTTTCAGGGTATGATCTGGTATTCTAAGGCAAGACCCTCGGTCTCAACAGAGTGAGGTCATCTTCTTTGACTGTTCCTTGTCTTGCTGTTACATGGACCTGACAGATGAGACCATGACTCTTCTAATGTGAACATTTTATCTAGGTCACCTTGATAGGTCACTTTCCACCTCAAATTCTACATACCTGTGTAATTCATGACCGATTCCAGTTTCAACAGAGCGATGTCATACCCACTTTCTGCTGTCTTGTATTGGTCATGAATTATTATTTCTTGAACCCTGAAGAAAGCAGTATCTTCATTTATTTCAGATTGATTTACAATGCCACCATAGACGCGCAGATTTTTAGATGTCTCTACTCTAAGGAACAAACGACACAGTGAAAGGAAAAAAAAATAAATTACTAGACAACTCCCAAATATTTGTGTTTCGTAATTATTTATGCTCTGAAACCATTTCAACCTTTGGGTGTAAAAAAAAAAGTGATTTTATTCTCAAAAACTTAGTCGCATATTTCCTCTACAAAGAAAACACTGGAGTAATATTTACTTTATATCTTTCTATTCTCTATCAAATCCACAAGCTCAGGAAGAGTTGAGTTTTAGTCTCAACCTTGTCGTTGACAGAAAAAAAAATCACATGGACTTTCTGGCATGCATGTATGCAAAAAAAAAAAAAAAAAAAGAACAGCATCATCAACAACAGCAAAAACCTAACAAACGAGCAAATTTCTGTTCAGAAACAACTGAGAGGAGCTGAAAGCAGCATAGAGGAAATTTTGCTCAACCAAATTTCCTTGGAATACACACTTCCCCAGCTAAAATGTTTACGTTTGGCCAATGAGGGTGTGTACTGAACTCTATGTATTTGGAGGCAGAGCAAGAAAGAGTAAGGAAAACATGATTCCAAGAGTAGAAAATTATAAGCTTCATCCTGGCCCTGTGCACTCGGGCCAAGAACCAGCATCGGCTATTATTTGCATTTGAGTGAAGAGGCAGAACGGTGTGCAAACTAATGCTGCCAGCTGATAAACGATTGTCTCTTCTGTGTAGGATTAATTTAGTAAAAGGGGTCATTTACATTTTCAAAGTGTCTGTGTACTATTATCATAGTCCCCGATTTCCCCCAATGTGTGATGATGGCGACCCACGGGCAACAGCCAGGACTAACCCAGAGAAACAGTGAGCAGCCGTCAGTATCCACTGGTTTCCAATGATGGAGCCTCCACACAGGTGTCCCTGGGTGGGCGAGGTGATGTGCAGAGTCACCTGCCACGGCCAGTCACCGTGAGCAGACGCTGTTCCTCCGACAATCCTGGGCTTGATTTTGGTTGTGCACACTGCAACAGGAAGAATGTGGTGAGTGGTTGCCTACGGCTTCTTTGTCACAGCTGGCTACTTCTGCTACTTGAGAAACCTCTTGGAAACCTTTCAGCCTGGAAGCAAGAAGGTAACATTTAGACTGCTAATGAGTGAGCAGCGGCTGGGACACAATATTGGTCATTCCATGAAGACCTTCAGTAAGAGTTACATCTTTATATCTGTTCCATTTGTTTCAACAGAACATATATATATATATATTGCTCAACATTGCATTGGGTGTTAGGAAACACTTCCTTTAGTGGCGTTGGTAGGTGTCTTTAGAAAGTCTAGGTACATTAGAGACCAGCAGCTGGACGCAAGGTTTAATTGTCTCCTCTAGCTACCAATCTACAACTGATCTGTTCTGTCACCTCCACAGGGCAGAGTCTATAAAGTCCACAGAGAAGAACATAGTGATGGCAGAAAGGTGAGAAGTGCAATCTTGATCAAGGTGTCAATCCTGGATCCCACTTTTTCAAGCATGCCATACCCATACCCCTCAACAGTATTTTCTAATTGTCCCATCTACCGCTAAGGAGTAGAATTAAGACAACACTTGTTTTGAATGCTCTTTCTAATTAGGTCGTTTTACCATGAGGAAAGCAGAGTATACGAACTACAATTTAATTAACTTTCTTGAGAGACACGGTCACCCAGAGATTGCCGTCAAACCTCTGTAGTCTCGGGAGGCATGCTGTCTGGCTAGGGCATTAGGGCTGTTGGGATAAAACATCTGGATGTGCTATAAATCAGGTCTTGAGAACTTAAAGGATTGAGTCACCTTCTAGAACAGCAAGGGATCCGACACCGAGGTTCTAAAACTTCTAAAACTGTCACGAGGAGTGATTAGCATCACATTTCCATCATGAAATCTCAGTTACATCACAATTTACAGGGCATCGAAATATTGGTCATTATCTATTATATGCAATTATTATTTATGTTTTGTTGAAATATCAGGTGAGAAGAAAATTAATAAGTTAATTAATACACTTGTTGGTAGCTTACTCACTGAGAATGAAAACAAAACAAAACAAACATTATTTGATCTTGAAAACAAAAATCAGCCCTCAGGCTCTGGCTCTTCAGGAAATGCTCCTTGAAATGACTAAAAATTACCTAACACATACTCAATTTATCAGTTCATGTGGGATTTAATGAAGAATCGATTCATATGCTTAAAATGTAGGGAGGATGGGCAAAAAAAAAAAAGCAGAATAATAGAAAGTTTCAAAATGTGTTAACCTACAAATTATCTCTCGTCTGCATCCATTTTTCTTGTCATTTTTGATACAGGATCTTGCTGTTTAATCCAACCTGGCCTCAGATTTCTGATCCTCCTGCCTCAGCTTCCTGTGTGCTGGGATTATGTGTTCCTGTTTCCACCCCTTTCTGGTTGTGTTGATACATTCAGTCGAATATCTTCTTTCAGTTGTATTTTTTTAAGTACTCACCATTATCCATTTTGCACAACCTCAATGTGTATCCAGAGATGCCTCCCCTCCCATGGAGTATTCTAGTTGGAGATCCATTTGAAGAAAGTTTTAAGTAACATCTGCCCCTATGGTTGAAAATGAAACAGTGAGTAGAAAACATATATATATATAATGCGTCCTGCAAGGAGATCCTCCAAGCAAACCCCCTGACCCCTGTCTTACTTCCTTTCATTGCAAGATCCTCGAGGTGGATAATAGGTAAAGAACTGGCAGCGCACAGTGTCAGTGCAGAGTTTCTGGCAGGTTTCTTTGCCTTTCACATCAATGATGTCCAATTCTTCTCCCAAGAAGTCGGTGTCGTTGTAAAATGACGGGTGACAGAATACTAGACAACAGAGCACAGGCCGGGTTTGAAGGGTGTGGCCTTTCCAGCCACCTGTCTCTTCGGGACTGTTGATCTCGAGGAGAAGGGAGGCTCTCTCAGTTTACCTGGCGTGCTGTGCCGGCAATGCTGAAGGCTGAAGCCGGAAAGGGCGTGGCTCTTCGGAATGCGCGTGCTCGGTAACCCACTCTCAGAGGTTTTAAGGAGGCAAAGATGCCTAGCGGGCAAAAGGAGGTGTAGGAACAGGTATGTGAAACGGGTCAAAGAGAAAGAACACGTGTTGCAGTGTGTATGGAAAGCAAGGTTGACGCGCGTTGGCTTTTAAGAGCGACCACGTCCCCACCACCCCTTTTGAACCTCAGAGTCACATTCCATAAACTGTATGTCACTGAGAACTTTCCAAAGCACTTTTGGAAACTGACTACTGTGGGCGTTCCCAGAGCCTTCCCTCTTGATCCTGTTCCTTCCAACAGTTTTAGCCTAAGCCAAAGAGTCCAGAACTGTCCTGCTACTTAGATGTCGCCTCTCTTGACTGGGTAACACTTTTTTACTGCCTGGTTTTAGAGGAGAACAAATCACCCCTCATGGTAACCTCTCACCTCTGAGATTCTTTTGGCCATCCTTGGGAAAAGAATGTAAAAAACAAACAACCAGGGTGATGAGTACAAATGCGGCGGCAAGCAAAGGCATCGGGCGCCAACACGCTGTCGATGTTAAGGTCTGCAAGCACTGTGTCAGGGAAAATGTCCCTAATGCAAGCTGTACAACAGAAACAAACAAACAAACAATCAAAAAAAAAAAAACTGTGTTAAAAGCCCTGGCCCCAACATCACAGACATTCCAGACAGTGTTTGTAAATTATATTAAAAAACGAAGTCAGTGGAAAGACCACTGGGTCCATTTCATCAGTGAGCATCAGCTGATTTTAAAGTGAGAGCTATAGGACTCACCTTCAGCTTTACACTATCCCTCTGAGAGAACAATACCCACCCAAGTTAGAAAGTCCACAGGACTTCAGTGAAAATCCAGATACCACATAATTGAGTTTTGTTATTCTGGTGGGTGTCCCCGTTTGGCTGTACTTCAAAAGACACATCTTACTGAATAAAAACAAAAATAGAAAAATATTATTCTTTGCAAGTATATAATATAAGAAGCACGAGAGGATAAGAAATTTTCATAGTCAGGGAGGAAATGAATGTCAGACTAAAGGAATTTCCCAGGAGAGTATTCACCCGTTCACCACAGGGCTAGTTGGCTGCTGGGATCCTGGCAGCTCCTCTAACCACTGGGTGGCCCTGCTGACTCAGGAACAATATTATGGCATCGGTGAACAGACAGCAGGAGAAACCTGATGTTGTGACAAGTGGAGCGTGAATGGGCTAACTTTAGCCCTTTTTATACACAGTAAAAAAAACGTTTTCCTGGCTTGCAGTTCACATTCTGTTAAGTCCAAGACATAAAAATTGTCCTCTGAGGTGAGGTAAAGAGAGACATGGAAGGCTACTTTCCATCTTTTTTAATGACTGATTTTTAAATACATTTTAATGCTTTACTTCACATTAATTTCTTTTTTTAAATTGCTGAAAGCAGAATATGAATGGTCAATGTTAAAGTCCAACTATCAGACAACTGTAGTTTACTACACGAACCTGGATCATGTCAAAGATTTCTAAGTCTAAACTGAGTCTTGGAAGATGGAGAGGTGGCTGTTCAGTCCTCTACAGTGATCTGTACACAGACACACACACATGCAACACACATACACAAACACACAAGCACACACACATAAGAATAAAATGATTTAAAAAGAACAAATCATACACTTTTCTAATAAAACTTTAAATCTGAAAACTGTAGATTTAGTCATTAGTGTACAGATAACTTTTATCATTATTATTATTATTATTATTATTATTATTATTATTATTATATAGGTTTCTTCCTTGAAGATTTCAAAAACCCACATGAAGCAGGATATAACGCTGTGTATGGGCTTCGATTATTTCATCTTAGATTATTTCATCTAAGGAACAGAACCATAGAGTTAGCTAGACAGAGAGCCAAATTTTCAGTTCTCCTCCTTTACATCAGGAGCATAACATTTGTTAGACTGTGAAGAGCACTGCCAACCAAACCAGTTGCAGTGCTCTCAAAACTACAAATGGAAAAATGTAGTGCTTTTGAAGTTAGGATACAGGGTAAGCATATATAGGGTAAGCTTTATAACAGCGTGTAAAACCTGGCTGTGATGAAAGAGGTCATCGAGCCCCAGAATCTGTTAGTCTGCACTCTGTGTATCGCACATGATGTGTGTGTGTGTGTGTGTGCTATGTGGATACGCAAGTGTGAATAGGAAGTCCCGAGAAGGACTTTTGGGAACCCTGCTCTATCACTCTCTGCCTTATTCCCTTGAGTCAGGGTCTCTCGTTAAACCTAGAGCTGACCAGTGAGCCACAGCGAGCCTCCTGTTCCCCTCACCATATTCCCGTGCCCCAAGCACTGAGGTTAAAGTCATGCACAGCCACAGCTGGCTTTTATGTGGGTGCTAGGATCCAAACATAAAGTCCTCATGTTTGCAGAGCCAATGCATTTAAACACTGAGCCATCTTTCGGCCCCGAAACTCAAAATCTTCATTACAGATTAAATGCATGCTAATTAGACGACATTCAAGGGAATTTTCATGACAGAACAATGATTTCTATTATGCAAATAGTATGCAAATGTATTCAAGGGGTTAAAAAATTTAGGCTTCAAGTTGATGAAAATAACTAATGAACCAAGGGTTTTCTTTCCCCTGTCACTCCTATACCCTGGGACTTGACACGAGCTCACTCACCGATGCTCCACACTGGGAAAATGTCCTGTTGCATAGGTGAAGAAATGACAATGGACGTCATTCGTGCACCTCTCTTGGCATTCCCGAGCGTTCCTCACAAGAGAACTGTTATAGTTCATGCCCTTCATGTCTAGGTCCACATACACATCTTTGCTGCAAGCTAAAAATGAAGGTGGAAAATACGGTCACCACCAGGATCCAAGGACAGCTACTCTATTGCTGTCTCAGCAATGGGCCCTCTTGACTTAGACTTTCCGTTTCTTACCCACTTTCCCATGGAAGTTCTTTGTTTTGTTTCACTCAACGTAATTCCTGTAATTCCCGCTTCCACCAAGGGGTATTAGGATCAGGTAAATAGATTATATAGTCCTATATCCCCCAAGGAAATAGTCTCTCTTCAAAAAAAAAAAAAAAAAAAAAAAAAAAAGCCCAGGGCCAGATGGATTCAGCGCAGAATTCTACTAGGCCTTCAAAGAAGAGCTAACTCCAATTCTCTTCAAACTATTCCACAAAATAGAAACAGAAGGAACATTACCAAACTCATTCTATGAAGCCACAGTCACCTTGGTACCTAAACCTCACAAAGACTCAACAAAGAAAGAGAATTTCAGACCTATCTCTCTTATATTGAGCAAAAATACTCAATAAAATCCTTGCAAACAGAATCTAAGAACACATAAAAGATATCCACCATGACCAAGTAGGCTTCATCCTAGGCATGCAGGGGTGGTTCAATACATGGAAATCCATCAATGTAATCCACCATATAAACAAACTGAAAGAGAGAACCCATATTATCATCTCCTTAGATGCCAAAAAAGCATTTGACAAAATCCAACACCCTTTCATATTTAAAGTCTAGGAAAGATCAAGGATACAAGGTACATACCTAAACATAGTAAAGGCAATATACAGCAAGCCTATAGCCAACATCAAACTAAATGGAGAGAAACTTAAATAAATCCCAATGAAACCACGGACAAGGCAAGGCTGCCCGCTCTCTCCATATCTCTTCAACATTGTTCTTGAAGTCCTTGCTAGAGCAATAAGACAACTAAAGGAGATCAAGGAGATACAAATCAGAAAGGAAGAAGTCAAAGTATCACTATTCACTGACGATAGGATAGTATACATAAGTGACCCCAAAAGTTCAATCAGGGAACTCCTTCAGCTGATAAATACCTTCAGCAAAGTGGCTGAATACAAAATTAACTAAAAAAAAATCAGTAGCCCTCCTGTATAAGAGAAACAAAAGGGCTAAGAAAGAAATTAAGGAATCTACACCTTTCACAGTAGCCACAAGTAACATAAAGTTCCTTGCTATAACTCTAACTAACTAAGCAAGTGAAAGACCTGTTTGGAAAAAACTTCAAGTCTCTTAAGAAAGAAATTGAAGAAGATATCAGAAGATGGAAAGATATCCCATGCTCATGGATTGGTAGGATTAACAGTGAAAATGGCCATCCTGCCAAAAGCAATGTACAGATTTAATGTAATTCCCGTCAAAATACCAACACAATTCTTTACAGAACTTGAAAGAACAATTCTCAATTTCATATGGAAAAACAAAATACTCTGAATTGCTAAAACAATCCTGTACAACAACAGATTATCTGGAGGTATCTCCACACCTGATCTCAAGCTGTACTACAGAGCAATAGTAATAAAAACTGCATGGTGGCATAGAAAGAGAATAGTGGCTCAATGGAATCAAATAGAAGACCCAGAAATAAACCCACACACTTATGGATACTTGATTTTTGACGAAGAAGCCAAAACCATACAATGGAAAAAAGACAGCATCTTCAACAAATGGTGCTGGTCTAACTGGATGTCTACATGTAGAAAAATGCAAATAGAACCATATTTATCACCCTGCACAAAACTAAAGTCCAAGTGAATCAAAGACCTCAACATAAAACCAGACACACTAAATCTCTTAGACAAAAAAGTGTGGAAGAGCCTTGAACTCATTGGCACAGGAGATAACTTCCTGAACAGAACACCAACAGCACAGGCTCTAAGGTCAACAATCAGTAAATGGGACCTCATGAAACTGAAAAGCTTCTGTAAAGCAAAGAACACTGTCATCAGAACAAAATGAGATCCCACAGATTGGGAAGGGATCTTCACCAACCCTTTATCTGACAGAGGGCTAATATCCAGAATATATAAAGAACTTAAGAAGTTAAACATCAACAAGTCAAGTAATCCAATTAAAAAATGGGGTACAGACTCTACCCAACAGGGTATTAAAGCAGATGCTGAGACTCACAGACAAACTTTGGGCAGAGTGCATGAAGAAGGGGGAGATGAAAGACCTGGAAGGGACAGGAGTTCCACAAGGAGAGCAACAGAACCAAAAAATCTGGGCAAAGGTGTCTTTTCAGAGATAATACTCCAACCAAGGACCATGCTTGAGATAACCTAGAATCCCCGCAAAGATATAGCCCATAGCAGCTCAGTCTCCAAGTGGGTGTTCTAGTAAGGGGAACAGGGGCTGTCTTTGACATGAACTCAGTGGCTGGCTCTTTGATCCCCCTGAGGTGGGAAGAGCCTTACCAGACCACAATGGACCACAATGGAAGACAATGCAGCCAGTCCTGATGAAACCTGATAGGCTAGGGTCAGATGGAAGGGGATGAAGACCTCCCCTATCAGTGGACTTGGGGAAGGATATGAGAGGAGAAGAGGGAGAGAGGGGATTGGGATTGGCAGGGAATCAGGAAGGGGGTTATACCTGGGATACATAGTGAATAAATTGTAATGAATAAGTAAGTAAGTAAGTAAGTAAGTAAGTAAGTAAGTAAGTAAGTAAGTAAGTAAGTAAGTAAATAAATAAATAAATAAATAAATAAATAAATAAATAAATAAATGGGAAAAAAGAGCACTGGTTGTTCTTCCAACGAACCTGGGTTCAATTCCCAGCACTAACAAGGCAGCTCACAGCTGTCTGTAACTCTAGTTCCAGGAGATCTGACACTCTCACATAGATACATGCAGGCAAAACACCATTGCACATAAAATACATAAATAAATCATTTTTTAAAAAAGCTTGTAAATTTTCATTTTGACTTTCCAATCTAGTGCCTAAACTGAACTGATTAATTAATTCAGTCATTAATCATAAGCCATGTGACACTTCAGTCTGCATTTTCTCCCTTTTCATTTGAATTAGTATCTATAACAAGGGCTTTCATGTACAATTTTAGTTTGGGAAGGAAAAAGTAAATAAAAAGTACTGAGAGTTGAAGTGGTGACATGCTTTTAGGAGGTTAAAAATGTTAATGAGTAAGAGTATGCTTATGAGGGAGAGGAAAGCATACTTCTACTCTATATAAGAAATAGTTCTTACACTCAACCAAGGACCATCTATGGATATAACCTAGAACTTCTGCTTGGATGTGGCCCGTGGTAACTCAGTAACCAAGTAGTTTTCCAAAGTAAGGGGAACAAGACTATTTCTAATAGGATCTCAAGGTCAGGCTCCTTGACTCCCCCCTCCCCAGGGGAGGAGCAGTCCTGTTAGGTCACAGAGGAGGACTCTACAGCCAGCCCTGAAGATACCTGATAAAACAGGGTCAAATGAAAGGGGAGGAGGTCCTTCCCTATCAGTGGACTTGGAAAGGGGCAAGGAGGAGACCAGGGAGGGAGTGTGGGGTTGGGGAAGGAATGAGGGAGCGGGATACAGCGGGGACACAGAGTTAACAAAATGTAACTAAAAAGAAAAATAAAATTAAAAAAAAAAAGAAATAGTTTTTTAGTGGAGAAGCTTAATTCTAGATGACACTTTTATTTTAAAGTCACAAAACTGTATCTGGAACAATTCCATGTATGTGTTGTAATGGCTAGTATTTGTTGTGTTTGATAAGAAATCTTACCACTTAATTGTTGAAGGCATTGCTTGAAGGAATAACCAGAAACTGCTCCTGTCATATTTACCATTGGCAATGTTTCTGTGACACTGTCCTTCAGGACACAAGCAAACCTGTTCTTTAAAAAAAACAAATGAATAACATTACTCAGCAGGAATTCATGTTTTCAAAGAGTGGACCCTAAGGTCGAAGAGAAGGAAACAAATGACTAGGTCTCATGCCAAAACAAATGTTTACTTAGCAAGATTCTGACTTTGCTTCCTATTTCAACATTCCTACATCTAAAAGAACACATATGACCCTCCTCTCCAACAGGACATGAACAAGAATGGGTGGACTCCGGCCTATTGCTAAAATGTTGTTAAAAATCTACTTGTTTTTGTGTTGTCCATGAGCTAGAAATGCTTTTCTATTCTTACATAGCTACATTTTAAAGGCACTGGCCTGCCTTGTTCCGGGAACAAACCTTAGGTCTTTAAAGAGTAACAGGTGATTCCTCTAGCCCCTACATGGTTACATTTTTAAATGGTGTTAGAAATACAGAATATTCTATTTGCATTTGGTCCAATTATCCCTGGCTTGCCAATTTCCGTTCTAGATTTCAGAAGCATAAGTAATATTTATGACACTGTGTAAATATTTGTGAGTCCAGCAATAACAAAGATATTGGCAACTTCATTTTGCATAAAAGATTATATATTAAATTTTCGAGTTTAGCATAGAGGCAGAAATGGATGGAATATCCAAGACTTTAAAAATGTGAGTAAAGAGACGGAACAGCCATGGAGAACCTGTGAAGTTCGATGAGAATTTAATTAACAGCTCTAAATAACATTTGAAGCATGCGATAGTGTAGGGTAGCTTTGTTCAGCTTCTTACACTTTGTTGTGAAATGCGTGCTGAAGAGTTTAGAAGTACCTGGCTATGATATTTTCAGTCACTTTCTGTATTTAACAGTGACTTTGCACAGGCAAAGCAAACGTGACAGAACATTGGAGTAAGCAGGAAACTATTGTAATGTTTTAAAGATACTTTTAAAGTATCTTTGTAAACATTTTTTTTTCTAATTGAATGGTTAGAAGAAAGAGCTAGATAATAGCCCTATCATTAACCAATAGCCGCAAATAAACAAATGTAAGACAAAACATGGAAGAAGAGCGAAAATGTGACCGTAAGACTGAGACCTCAAGAGGCGTTCCAGCTTTTCACAATCGTGCCTAGGCCCCATCCTTCCTGTAACAGTTAGTACTTCAGTAGCAGGAAAACTCATTCTCTGGCTGGTAACATCACATTATGTAAAATGACAGGAGGGAAGTTGTAGGTAGATAATCAGCATTGGTGAATAACTGGCCTTGGAAATTAGTTCCTCCTCAGAGAAACAGAAATAGTTACCATTTGGTAGGCTCATCAGAAGACGACTCAGCCATGAACGTGAAGAGCAAGCAGCGTGGGTGATGGGTGCAGACCAGTTGGCAGTACTTGGCACTCGGTGTGAAAACGGTACTTATGTCACCTCCTTGGAAGCTGGTGTCCTTGAAGACCTTAGTGACACAGTCTGGGATGAAACGTGGGCACACATTACTGTCGATTTTGGTGGGCACTTACCTCGTTACATAGTCTGATAAAGTCAGGGCACACATGTCTATGTCACAGAAAATATGCCAGAACTCAGACGTCAGATCAACTGAAGCGTTCAGGTTAGCGTGTCCAGGGAACAGCCTCAGATGGGAATAAAATCACAAACCACATAGTGACCTCGGTGACATCACATTTGCGAGTGCTTGTCTCGGGAAGGCTGCGGGACCAATTCTATGTTTTCTCAGCTGTTGACCAGCAAAACATACTCTTGGGGAAGCCCCTCCAGGTCAGCAAGGGCTTGCCCTGTTTTCCTTCATTCATTGTTTTGACACTGCAACCTACTAAAAGCCAAGACCGATGACCCCTCAAATGATGTCATGTCAACATTACAAGTTGACTCACAAGACCCAGAGACACCAGACAGGCGCTAGCATAACTGTCATCTGAGAGGCTCCATCCACGGAGCAGATGATGGAAACAGATGCAGAGACTTACACTAGAGGCAGCGTGGGGAATTCCATGGAAGAGGGGGAGGAAGGATTGAAGGGGCCAGAGAGGTCAAGGACACCACAAGAAAACACAGAATGAACTGACCTGGGCACATAGAGACCCACAGAGCCTGAATCACCAACCAGAGAGCATGCATGGGATGGACATACATTAAGAGTTGTGTAGCTCAGTCCTCATGTGGGACTCCCAACAGCAGGAGCAGGAGCTGAATCTGACTCTGTCGCCCACCTTTGGTTCCCTTTCCCCTAACTGGGCTTCCTTGCCTAGCCACAGTAGAAGATGTGCTTAATCCTACTGTAACTTGATATGCCAAGACAGGTTGATGGAAGGCCTTCCTTTTTCTGAGCTTTTTCTGAGGGTAAAGAGAGGATAGGAGGATGACAGGGAGTGAGGTGAGAGAGAGGGATTGAGAGAAGGGGAGGGAGAGGAGGCTGCGATCGGGATGTAAAAATCATATAACTATATAAAAAGGACACATTTACTAACAAGGAGTATAAAGTCCAGGAAAGATCATTGAGTCCTCTTTTGCTAAAGCCTCAGATAAGTTTTATTTTTAAAAAGCCAAAGTACATAAAAATTTAAAAGTCCTCTGTTGCTAGAAAGAGCTACCTAATAACCCATATGGCATGTGAACTTTCTAAAGGACTGTTCTCTAGAAACTCAATAAAAGTAGTTTACATTTCTTCATGCAGGCATACACACTCACAGGGAGGTCCTGATAACCTATTTCTCTTTATAACACTGAAAACAAATAATTAACTCAAGTGGAAATACATCAGGAAGAATAAACTCTAACTCAAATGTGTACTGCAGTAACAGCCACCAATAACTGTCTCCAGAGGATAGTAGGTACACAGTAGTCAAAATTGCCAAATGAGGCTTGTAGGACTGAGGTAGCCAGCAAACCCACAGCAACCTCACCTGGCTTTTCACTGCCCCCTAACTGAAATGTGGTATGTACATGCCTGTATTATTAATGTAAGCAGTTAACTAGATTAGTATTTGTAACGTCTGTGGTGATGACAAGTCATATCATTGCGACTCATCATGAATTTGTCGATTATTTCTATTCGGTTCTGGGCTCATCTCTAAATCTTTCCACCTAACGTGTCACTCAGAACCACACCTGTTCTGTATTGAATGTTTTCCATTTTAACCAACCATATTTCAATATAATTAATTTCTCCAGTAAGTGTATGTATTTTTAGTCTGTGCATTTAGAGACATCATTCCAAGAACAGACTTCACGGCACTCAAGAAGCTCCTGGAGAAATCCATGAGGCCGGAGAGCAACCTCTCTACAGATCGGCCTCCAAAATGCAACAGTGTTGGTAGGGAATATGACTTTCCTCAGTCCTGGCAAGTATCCCAGGAGCTACCTGGAGACTTGACTTCTTTCTCCAAGTTCTGTGTTGTCTCCCATCGAACTTTGGAAGCTTCCAGATAACAGAGGTCTATTTCTACCTCACAGCATAGCATATCTGCTAACTCTAGAAATTCAGTTTTTTAGTACAAAGCCATCATGACATTAACATGTAATTGTCAAGAACTGGTAAGCAGAACTGGTTTTTAAAGGATGACTAAATGTGCAATTTTTACCTTGGAGACGGTCACTACTTGAATCATTTAATCTGTAATATTGGTTTTCATAATCTCAGTGTAGTTTCTAGTACTGGTGAAAATTGGCTACTGTTTGTACATTGAAGAATTTGAAAGGAAGAGGTTGAGCTTGGGCCTCAAATGCCCTCTCCCTCTGGAGTCCTGAGATTACGAGCATATGCCAGGAGCAGTATTTTCAGTCTGAGGACTCCTTGCTGATTGGCCTAAAATGATCAATGTGTTCATCACTTTGAATTTTTCTATCTGCATAATCATATTTTACATGAACAATCAGTTAATTTCTGTCTTTTCCCTGACTTTTAGCTCCTTCTACCTTCCCTACTGGGGCAAGTGGGATCTCCTATGTAATATTTATGGGAAGTGGCAGTAGATAACCTCCTCAAAACATTTATTGGCATGTATTCATTGCACCTAGTGGTGGGTTTCGTGAGGATACTTGCACAGAAGTGTATCATGTATTTTGACTATATTCATTCTTCATAGCCTTCTGTTTCCCACCTTCTATTCTCCTTCATTTCACTAAACTCTAGGGCCTAGAGAGCATCACCTCAACTTTCATGAAGTTGTGTGTGTGTGTGTGTGTGTGTGTGTGTGTGTGTACACACATACATAATTACATGTATCAGTATAAGGTCTAGAACTCACAAACTTGAGAAAATGTGATATTTAAATTTCTCAATCTGACTTATTACACTAAATTTGATGATCTTCAGTTGGGTCCATTGTCATACAAATGACACAGTTTCAGTTTTCATTGTGGCCAACTAAAACAACAAGAACACAAAGTTGGGTGGGTATTAAATGGGGGATGGATCTGGGAGTAGTTTAGGGAGGAGGTGAATATGAGCAAAATACAATGTGTGAAATTCTCAAGGAATTAAGGAAAACTAAATAAACTTTCTCAGCTAAAAACAGAACACGGCCCCCTGATTGCGCACACGTCCAGCCTTTTCTGTACACGTTCACTTGCTGGTGACACCCAGGCAGACTCCCTGACTTGGTTGTTATGCATAATTTCCCATGCTGGTTAGGCTGTGGGAAAAATCAAAATCCATAATAGGGTTTCACAGAACTGGAAGGAAAGCCGCAGCACTCCTGGGAACATACAGGGTGGACTCTAAGTCAATGTAGCAAAGAGATTTCACATCTGCTCATTGTTCCCTGTTCACGATGGCCAAGTTGTGTGATTCTCGCCTTACCCTCAGTACCTCAGGGGAACACATTTCAGTCACCAGACTTATGAGATTTCTTGAAAATTTTTGGTTTGAATTTCTCTTTCCTAATGTTTTTTTGTTTTAAGATACCATTTGGTCATTGGGAAAGTTGTGAGTTCACTAAAATATTTTGTTATGGGTAAATTTTTATTAAAAATAAATATTAAATTAAAGTTTTCTTCATGAATCAATGTCTTAAATCATTTTAATTTTATATTTTTTCTATGGTAAAACAGGTGTGTAATAAAATTTGCCACTTCTGCTTTTTTTTTTTTTTTTAGTATATAGAGCTGTGGCATTAAGTATATTTGTATTACATACAATTACCACCACTATTCTAGAATTCCTCCAGCTTTTCCAACTGAAATTCTGTACTGATTAAATGAGCATTAGCATTAACCTCTGGTCACTTTTCTTCTGTCTCCTGTTTCTCTGAAACTGGTTCCTCTGGGGTAACTTATATATGTGGAATCGTTCATGTGTTTATTTGTAAATGACTAATTTCATTTGGTATAATGCTGTGAAAGCTCAGTCATGTCATAGGTGTGTGTTAGAATTCCCCTCTTAAACGCTGAGTAATATTCCATTGCATGTGCATACTGTCATATTACGTTTTGTTTAAGCATTAGCCCATGGATGAACACACAGCTTGTGCTATATATGGATGAGGAGTGTGCGTCAAATGCCCATGCGTTTCTGCCTCGCATCTACTCTGCATGCCAGCAGGAAGACAAATCTCTGATGGAGCTTCTGCTTTCAATTCCTTTAGGTCTACATCCACCAAAGCAGTGAATCTATTTTTTTTTTTAATAACTTTTTGTTCCTGGAATTAACCAAACCTTGCTACAATAGGACAATGTAATCAGTCTATTCATTTTCTTTCTTTAAAAAAAAGATTAATTTTTTAATTTTATATGTATGTATATATGCCACGTGTGTGTGGAGATGCTCACAGAAGCCAGAAAAGCATGTTGGATTCCTGAAAGCTGGAATCATGGGAAGTTGTGAGCTACCTAATATGGGTGCTGTGGACTGAACTGAGGGGCTATGCAAGAGCAGTAAGTGCTTATAAACCCTGAGCCATCTCTCTAGTCTCCTATTTATTTTTCTTTAATATATGAGTTGGACGGATTGCTGTAGCCAATTTTGAGAGGTTTTGCGACAGGGTCTTGCTATACCTGGCCTTAAACTTTCAAGCATCTTGCCCCAACTTTGCCAATTCTGGGATTTCAAGTGTGATGCATCACAATGGATAACATTTTGTCAGTTTTATTTGCATATATATTCATAAACAAAAAAAGTCTTACAAGTCTCAGAATGTGCCTATGAACTTGGTATCACTGACATTTGGAAATAGGATGCAGAACACGAGTGGACATACTTTCTCTAATCTATGTTTACATCTTGTTTAATTCATTACTGCTGTGTTTTTTTCCTATCTTCTAGCTCCTTTGCATTTTACCTTCTTGAGCTGTATTGTCATCAATTTTTACCCTTTCTCTCTTCTAATGTATATGCATAAATTTTACAGGTCATCTCAGCCCCAATTTGATTACATTCCAAAGTTTTGTGTGCCATATATTAATTAGATTAGCTTTAGTTAAAAAATATTGATTTCTTCTTTGAATCATATTTAAGAATATATTTACTTAACCCAGTGTCT